GGGGGGGGGGGGGTGCATAAGAATATTACAGGGCCTTATGTGGGAATCTTTAAACTGGTGACACAACTAAAATCCTCTGGTTCCATCCTCCTCCCCCCTGTGATAATTTTGACCAGTCCCTAGAAGAGAAAAAGCGAAGCAGCTGTTATCTCTCGCTGCATCAAATCGAGATGCATTAAACGGAAATTTCTTTCTTTATCGTGGTCTTGTTATTCCCGTTATGTTGTGCAAAATGACCAGTCAGCATACATGAACAAAACTTTTAACGTTCGACCAACAGCCACCTTCTTACTTGCACTCGAACGATGACTACTACCGGTAACTCCTTGCCAGGACTTCTCCGTTCACCCCGATGATACCAGACGACACAAAATGGCTCTTTCCTCCATATATACGTTTTTCTTTATTTTTTTCCTTCAGTAAAAGCAGAAATATCAGATGGCAAAAGAGCCATCCATTGTAAGTTCACACATCGTGTGAAAATGACAGATAAGTCAGCTCCTATCACGAATAACAGCTGGCCTTAAAACCTTTTCTGACTTCTGCTCTCCAACAGCCTAGGACCCTCTTATTGGTCAATTGAACATCATGTAAAATAATACCTCTCTTTCCCGGAAGCATTGAAGATTCCGAGAAAAAGCGGTAGAAGAATTTTAAAGATGTTTGTAAACAGACATTGAGTGGGTAAAGCAAGAGGGGTGGGGTGTGGATGGCGTAAAGCGAAGCAGGGAGTGAGCCATCGTTTGGTTTAAATAGTAAAAACTCAAAAAGACTTCCTAATTTTGACTTCTGTATGGAAAGAGGCCAGAGGGGCTTTATAAACGTTAACAATAATTTGATATCTTATTGTGATAAAATCCCTCTTGAAAATTTGCAATTAATATAACTGCTTGGACGCTCTTTCTTGGAAAAACTTGAAAAGCCGTCTCGCTGTTTTTCATTTATAACCATTGTTGTGACAGCTGATGACTAAAAACGGAAATCTATTATTTAAATCAGAGCAATTTTACAGACGACTGATCTTTTTTCCAAGAAAATAAAAAATAATAAGAAAAGAAAAATTCGCGGAAATCGTTTCGGTGTCGATTCCTAGAAACTGAAATCAAGGTTCGTAGGTAACCGCTCCGACGAAGGGCTAACGCTCGAAACGTCAGCTTTTGTAATCATTACGGTGGCCAATTTACCATTTCAACTTTGTTGATATATCCAAATTATTTCGTTACTCCGACCGACGCAGCCCCAAACAGTTTCTTTCGAAACTATCAGCCTTTATTCATTCGTAGGTAACCACCGATTTAAAACAATTTTTGGGTAAAGCTTGTATGAAACGAAATTTAGTGTTCCAGCGTGGTTTGTCGCAGACACTACAAAACACGAACTATTTCGTTATCTGACTCATCGATCAGCTGCATCTCGCGGAGTTACCTCAGTCTACCGTGTCTTAGGCCGGCTTATGTCTGTTAACTTGGAAAAGTTTCTCGTTCTATCACGGAGACTAAAATATTTGTTTCTGATTGAGACCGTTAGTATTTTAAAATTTAGATATATCGATTTGCAAGGCATTTCTTTCTTAATGGTATCTTTTGTTTTTCATTTGGCACATAAAAGTTTTGGATCCGACTTTTCGAAATCTAGTCAGTCAGTCAGTGGAGGACTAGAAATAACTTGGTCGAGAATAACGAGTTTCGATTTTCGCAGGTAACCGATCGAGGTTATTCCGAACAAGACCCTTTTAATAGATATAACGCGTCAAGACCGAAATTATTTATCCTAAAAGGAGGTTTTACCGTGGACAGAAAAACTCTGTGTTCGGTCACTTAAATCTTATAAAAGTGCAGTGCAATCCGACATTTCCGTATGGAAACTACAAAGCATCTTAGAGAGAATTTTTCAACAAAAGCAACATTCAGAGACTTTACTTAAAGATTGAATAAAACGATCGTGAAATTTGTGCTGGGCTGTCGTGTAAAGAAGTTAAACTGGACGTCGAACTTTTTTCCCGAACATAAGGAGAAAACGAACATTCTGAGGCTCTTCTATGAGTTCGAAGTCCAGTCACGCCCCATCAAGTTATACGTATGTACGGAGATTGTTGGCGGTTTGGGATTCGAAACCTCACGTTTTCCTTTTTCGAATGTTCACACCACATGTTATTCAATACAGTTCTTAACCTGAGGCTATTTTGATGAAATCGAAAAAGATATATAATCGGAAAAGATTAAAATAAGTTGAGGACATGAGGCGGCAAAGGAGAAATTACTCCTTAAAAATTTTGAAATTATTTAGTACCACTTGATATATCTTGCAACTGAAATTTTCGAAACTCACTCATTTCATACTTCATCTGCAATTCGGCACCAATAATTTCCTTTAATTTCCGAGAATGATGTTTTTTTTTAAGTGTCAACATCCCTTCTAGGGTGGGGGAGGGGAGGAGGGGGTAAATATGTGTGATGTATTCTCTCCTTGGGGTACCCCTTCAATGCAAAAATCGCCTTTCGATGCCAGCTCAGTCTTATTTAATTACAACGCCCACCAAACGTTTCTCTTACAACTAGCATATATCATTAGCAGTTGTGCCGGATGAAATAGTTTATATTTCACGGTGATAAAAGTATACTCGTAATCTTGAGATTTTTTGTCTAAATTATCCATAACATTACCGCTTAGATTTTGAAAAATATTTCATAGTATGGTAAGAGAATTGGTATTGATCATCATTCAACGGCGGAAAAAGGCGTAGCCAGGGGGGGTCCTGGGGTGCCCGTGACCCCCCCCCCTTGGTGGGCCTTCATTAGAGCAAACAACCTACAATATTCAGGTGGCGAAAACGCCATGACAATATCTTGGCCGTAAAAGCCATTGTTGAAAAGCCCACTTTTTTAAAATTTGTTTTTTTTGTAAAGTATTTTCGTCAACGACTCTTGTTTTTAGTTAATGTGGGCCTTCATGCCGTGTTAATACGACTGAGCCCGCTGATACACGCAGGAGAGCAGCGGTGTAAATGGTGAGTAGCCTCTGTGACCCCCCCCCCCTTTGAAAAATCCTTGCTACGCCCCTGGAGGAATACAATGTTAAGTGCACCACTAGCAAAATAAGTTTTATCCGATTTGCTCTACTGAAACTCATCGTTTTTGGGAAGGCTTGTGAAAACCCATCTGCGTATCTCGGAGTTTTCCTGGAAATTTCTTTTGAAAAAAGGATCAGTTTATTTATACCAGCCAAAAGCAGCAATTGCTCCCCAATTCGGTTAAAAATCTGTCAATTTACAGCTTTTTTCCTCTCCCACAAAATATGACTTGTCGAAGCCATCAAGAAGTACTGCTTTCTCAGTAACATAGCCCTATAATCGTACACATCGTGTCGCTGTACAGGTTATCATTCTCTTCTCCACGTTGGTGATTTTTCACCGTTTACTCAAGGGAAAAAGACTGGGCCTGATGCCAAGATACCCCTCTCTCCCTCGCTAAGCCTAAACTACCTCCCCGTCCTATGGAATTTCTAACCATTTCTCGGAAAGTCGGTAACCCACATCAACTTTGAGTTTCTAGGAAAGGGGACACATCACTTCCTTCATACACGATTCAACTCGTTTGGATGATGTGTCGATGCAACTGTCTTTTCTAGCGAAGATATTCAAACACAGAAAAACTTCGGTTGTTTCGCTGTAAAATATTTGTCGTTCTCTGTACGTGCTCCTTTCGAGAAATACTTCCGGTATTTCAACATCGCATTGTCTTAGTGACTAACGTTCAGCGCCAACTTTCGTGATTATTGTAGCGCTCGTCCAAGCTCTAAGAAAACTAACTTCAATAGCAGTAAAGTAGATTATTGTAGCGACTCACTACAAGACAAACCGTGCAATTTTTAGACTTAAATTTCTTGTATTTGCACCGTAAGACAAGGAAAATATTGAGACAATAGAAAGCCTTTGAGACTATGCTGCTCAGCTTGTCCAAGTCATTAATTCTTTTAGCATCGATAATTTTTAGCTACTCTGGTATCTTCTTTGAACCAATTTTCAAGAAAAGGGAAAGATATCGTTCTCTATTCTTGTAGAAATAGTAGCGAACTGTTCCCCACGCAAAATTGTTGCAGTTTCGCTGAATTATGCACGTCAGATTTTAAAAACAATAATGAAATTAAATATGGAATTCTAAAGTGTTCCGGTTTTAGGAGGCTCTGTCTCCACATGCGAGATGTTCCTCAGAGAAAATGTGCGAGATTTCACGTCCAATGGACACTAAGGTTTTCCCCTTCATGAGATTACTTGTTTTAGATTTAAAACGCCAAACTGCAAGTTTATACTCAAGTTTGATTGTTTCTTTTCCTAGAAAAAACGTTTTACTCTCACAAAGCACCTTTTTTACTTCCGGCCAAATTCTACGAATCGTCACCGTGGTGACAACGGAAGAAAGCTTTTTTCCCGGAAATACGTCGTTGTGATGGTTCAGATATAAATACGATAGCTATGTATCTTACGAAATACAATTTTAACATCTTCAGACTGGTGAATCATGGTCACAAATTCAAGGAACCAGCAGTAACAAAACTATGTGTAACAAGAAACATGAAGGTCATTCGGTGTTGTAACGAGCTTGGCGTCGGAACTCAGAGTTACTATAGTCGTTTACGAAATCGATGACTGCTGATATACACGCTGTTTCTTCGCTAGAGGTTGCTGTCAAAAGATTGGAGAAAAGTGGCTTTTATTGGGGAGCCATAAGTGGAATCAAAGCGAAAGCTGTTCTCCGTGATCAAGCGGTTGGGACGTTTCTTGTTCGCGACAGTTCAGAGTCACGGCATTTATTCACCATAAGTTTAGTCACTTCTGTTGGGGTAACAAACGTTAGAATAGTATTTTTGGAGGGTTTATTTTCACTGGACAAAAAGGACACATCAAAGACAACAACAAACAAGGAACTTCATCATTGTGGTCCTCCAAAGTTTGACTGCGTCGTAAAGATGGCTTTCTATTATATGCTAGTGACAAGAAAGATTTTACAAGCGAGGGGAAGGAGCTCGCTAGATGAACTCGAAACGAAAGGAACCGCAAAGTTTTTCCTTTGGCGTCCGCTGTATAAGGAATTTGCCAGTCTCCAGCATTTATGTCGTAAGGCACTTAACAACCAACTTTTGGCTGGTGGATCCAAGGAGGACGCAAAAAGTATTCCACATACTGTCAAATTTTTCTTATCGAAGTACCCATACCCAATTTAATATGTACATGGTACGAAGTATTTCAATTAGCTTATGTAATCGCTCCTCATTTTGACGGAGGGAACCGAGATTGACTCGTGATTCGTAGTTAACATTTCAAAGAAGGCTGTGTTCTCAGAGTGGAAATATCTGCCTTTTCTCTGTACATAAACACTACTGCATTGTAAATGTTGAGTATATAGATATGTAAGACGTTGCATTTATGATCAATTTGTTCAGGACTCGACAAATTATACTACATTCACGAATTCGTGGGAGAGTGGCAATACCCACCGGTCGCTTTCTAAAATATAAAATGGAATCTATCAAAAAAAAAAACTTCCATCCAATATCGTCAATCCTTTGAAAGTGGAGTGAAAAGATGTGCACATATTTCGTTTTGTTTAAAGTCTATAAATACAATGTAAATTATTCTTTAAGGAAGAGCAAGCGACATTGGATATTCTTTTTACTTGTAGTTAAATAACTTCCCGTCTTTCTCGAAAACGGTTATTTTCACTATTGAAAGTGCTTTGTTCGCAGCCCTGTGTGACCTCTCTCTTCAAGTTTGATTCTAAGAAAATTTCCACTTCCACCCGTAACCGGTTTCGTTTTTGGTGACCGGTGAACAACTCTCGTTTCGTTCAATTTAATTAGCGTAGCAGTTCATAAACTGAAACTTAGTACAAAGAAAAAAACAACTTGCATCAGAATTTTACGAATAAGTCGAAGATGAGATATATTTTCGGTACACAAGACAACATGAAAGAAAATTGTACTTTCAGATTAAATTTAACTGTCTTGATACCGCTTTAAGGAACCTTTGCATGCAAGTCTCTCGTGTACCTCAAGATTACATCGATCATTTACGACTTTATGGAAGAAAATATCTTTTATCTGTGTTACTTTTTTATAATACCCTCAATTCATTTGTGTTTGTTCACTAAAGGAAGTCTTTGGACAGCTGTGGTACACTACGTCGAAAAATTAAAACGATCTTGAGCAGATGTTCGCCTCTCTACAGGAAGAAAACAATGAGTATTAAAGACATTTTGATATTTTCAAACATAGTATTGGTTTACCATAATTGAAAAAAGTTGATTTTATTTACTTAATGCATAATTTTGGTGAACAAATATGAAACTTAACACGATTCAGTGTAAAAAAGGATACATTACATTCTTAAGGCCACCGAAAATTAGAGGAAATGTGTCATTGACCAAATTAAGCATGAAAAACGTTGATATCGCGAAATCTTCCCTCCAATCAAGTTGTTTTGCGAATGTTCAATCAAGTTGTCATGAGCACCAAAATCTCCTAGTATGGAGATGTCAAGTGACGTCAATAATGCTCACATCGAATAGTTACGTCACTACGTTGTACAGATACGTGCAGAGTTTGCAAACCTAGATACTAGGGACCTCAAGAAACCACGACGGCGACGGCAACGAGGACGTGGAAAAACAAGAGATCTAATTGGCAGAACAATAGTTCAGCACGTGCGTTTTGAAACTTTGTACATTTCTTGGCCGTCCTATGCAAAACAACAACGTGAAATCGCCAAAATTTGCGTCGTCTGCGAACCGAAACCGCGACGGCAAATTATTTTAATTTCCATTTGGAACTCAAAGGCTACTTTATACGTCATGCAGAAGTTGAGCTCTGGCACTGTATGAGACAGTAAGCTCCTGCAGCCATTTTTTAAACTCTAACTAAGAGTAGAAATTCATTTTTTAATCGAAGTCTTCCTTGGCGTCGCCGTCGTGGTTTCTTAAAGTCCCTACTAGTACACCGCTGACCTTGATAATTTCTTCGAGAGTGCTCAAGAATTCTTGCACTTGCAATGTTTCACATCACAGCTAATTTTTCCTTGAAAGTAAAACTGTTACATTCAAGTTAACTGCTCTGACAGAGAATAGATGGTGTTCACTTTCCACGTCCTTTGGAAGTTAAATGTGTTCACAAAATGAAGGCCTTGAGCAATTCACTAGCCTGGCTTATGGCCAACCTGGCTCGATCGGCCTTTAAGATCTCGCCTCATCGCCCTTTTCTTAGCAAAAAATTTAACGGAGCTCATCTGATAAGCTGCAGGTTGCTGCAGAGATCGGCATTTACTGCGACCAAAATCTCGATCCTAACCAGTCTGGAAAATTTTTGATATAATTGAACACATCAGTTTACTAATCGCCTTATCGGACGAAAGTTGAAAGATTTCGCCTTGTCCATCCTGGGAACCGAGCTAAAATTTCCCACATTTAAAGTCAACAGGCTGAAATTACTCACATGGTTAACCAAAACTATCTTCTAAGCTCATTTTGGCATGATTCGAAAAAGCCCTCAACTAACTGCCGCCATCTTGAATAATAACAAAATCTTAGAGACATGGAAAACAAATTTTCACGTACCTTATAAATGGATTGCAATCTGAGCTTCCTTTTTTTCATGGGTTGCTTCACGTCATCTGCTTTACAACGCTTAATCATTTGCCTTTGCTTGGCTCAGCAAGCAGTATTCTTTTCAAAAACATTGTATACGCCCTGAACCTAACGCTCTTCGGTAAGGGGCCCGGAGTCGAGTTTATTGGACAAGCTCGTGACATCATAGGGAGCTGAGGGGAGGCTAGGGGAGGGCCTGGGATAGAACATTTGACTTGTAACGAAGAGGGAAGGAAATTAACCGACTTTAAATAATTTCCAAGGCGCATTTTGTGTCATATTAAGTTTTCCAAGTACCAAATCATTTGAACTGTCTCAGAGGTCAATAGTCCTTCTCTTAGTCATCAGGGACCTTAAGAAACCACGACGGCGACGGCATCGAGGACGTGGAAAAACAAGAGATCTAATTGGCAAAACAATAGCCCAGCACGTGCGTTTTGAAACTTTGTACATTTCTTAGCCGTCCTATGCAAAACAACAACGTGAAATCGACAAAACTTGCGTCGTGTGCGAACCGAAACCGCGACGGCAAATTATTTTTTTTTTAACTTCCATTTGGAACTCAACGGCTACTTTATACGTCATACTGAAGTTGAGCTGTGGCGCTGTATAAGACAGTAAGCTCCTGCAGCCATTTTTGAAATTCTAACTAGTAGAAATTCATTGTTTAATCGAAGTCTTCCTTGGCGTCGCCGTCGTGGTTTCCACAAACCCACCTGCAGGTCAGGATTTTCTGCAAACTACGAGTCAAAGTTTCATCTGATGCTCGGGGCATTTAAAATTCACCCAATGAAAACCATACAGAACCTGAGATATTCTAGTCACAGTGCTGGCGAGAATGAAAGCAGGCATTAATTCATGGTAATCATTCGGATGAGGGGAGCGCGTTAGGTCTACTTCCGTAAATGTCTAGATCCACAAATTTTCGTTGTTGAATGCATTTGCATTAAGTCACCCGTTACGCTTAGTTCCCAGGGCCCCTCTTCTCTGCCCTCTTTTCCCAATGAGTGACACCCTGGTTACAAGGTAATTCCACCTGTAGTAACAGAGGTGCATATAGCCGGTTTTTACCATCACACCATCATCAAGACCATTCAACGAATAAAATCAAGAGTCAAAGAGATAAATGGAGATGAATATTCATACCGTCTCGCAAAGATTCAGGTCTATGCGATGTTTTGTACCGGAAATATTCGAAGAAATGTTTTCACAAGAATTTGTATATACACACCATGTTTGTGTTCCTCCAAGGAGCACGGATATGGAGGCCGGAAGCTAACAAAAACATATGTTATCAAGTTTTGCTATTAAAAGCCTGTAGTCGTTTTCTGGGGGAAAATAAACATCCATAGGAGTACTTATTCTCATACAAGGACTGTTCAGATCGCGAAATCTCAGCGGAACTTTGTTTAGCCCACGTGACAGCACTCGCGACCCCATTTTAAGACCATGTCACGCAAAAACTTAGAAATTCAACCTCGCTTTATCACAAGACGAAAAATCCTATTATACTGAAAATTTGTACAAAGATAAGCGTTCAGTTTTTTCTAATAACCATCTAAACTAAAACCTCAAAAGGAGTGATAATTAAATTGATGATTGATAACTGAAACAAATCACCATACACTTTTTATCATAAGAAAGTTTTATTCTAGGCACGCTGTCTTTGAAATGTTGGTCAACAAACGCTCTGTGGAAAAGTTGGATGCAAGAAATAGCAGCGAGCTCTCGATTCTGAGTCCCGCCAAATTCTAAAGAGTTTTGGACCCCCCAGTAGTCAAAATAGAGATAAGAGAATAAACTCAGATGAAACACACTATCACGATCATTTTCAAAAACACAACAATGAGGCTCTCCGATCATTTCCCATAAGCAAGAAACACATAATTAAATAAATGCTACCAATCCAATAGTTACCACATTTTCTCGCACGGTTTCCCCAACACTGTCTACAATAAAAACTTAGGCCTCACGAGACCAGTGACCCGCGCACAACTTGACGCTAAAAAAACCAGCGCTGAACGCGGGAAAAGTCACTGATCTTCACTCTGATTGGTCGACAGAGGCATGACGCTTGGAACTCAACCAATAACAGAGCAGAGAAGACAAACCGACTTAGGACTCCCGACATTCGAAAACCGCTATACCAATACTACGACTGCTCGTTTTCCTTTTTCGGTATAAAGATAGGAGTCACATCAGATGGTTTATGATGACAATACGGTGAGGCAGGACATCCCACAATCAACACATGATTTCCTTTGATCCATAACCGCCACATACTCTTATGAAAACCTCTCACATCCAAGTCCCATATCTTGAGACATTTTGCTAGAGCGCTCCAAGTGATCCAGTCCGTGGGGTGGTCCATTTTAATGTAAAATATAAAGTTTTTGTCCTTCTCTTCCGGAACGAACTCCTCGCTTGTGCAAGGGTTCTTGGAATGATCGAGGGTACTTGAGGAGCTGTGTAAGCAAAAGGAAGAGTAGTGAATAAGTTCAAGAAAAAAGACGCGAAACTCTTGAGGAAAATTCCGACGATGCTTTGAGACAAAGTATTCCCCTTCAACCGGGGTACAGTGGCCACTAACGACAGAGAGCAAAGGAGGGTGGGGTCGGGGGTGACAGGGAGGGAGGCCTTAGGTAACTGATTGGAACCATAGTTCCCACGGCAAGAAAGAATAGGGCAAAAACTTAGACCTTAAAAGTGCAAAAACATTTAGAGACATATAGGAGAATTACAGTAGTTATTGGGGCTTGTTTTGGCTCCTAACCCATCAGGAAAAAGTATTCGATACCACGTGACATGACTGAACCAATCATATTGCAGTCTTAGCGATATTTCTCAAACTTGAAATGTCACACAACGCTAGAGAAATGACGCTACGCTATTACGTTGTGTGGCATTTCAAGTTTGAGAATTATCGCTAATCCTACAATCAGATTGGTTCATTTATGTCACGTGGTATCAAATCCCTTTTCCTGGTTGGTTAGGAGCCAAACAAGCCCCATTAACTACTAATGACTGACCTAATTAATCTCTCGATCTCTATCTCGTAATTCTCTTTCGTCATTTTTTCCACGTTAAACTTGACATTTGACTCGGTGTTCAGAGCATGCTTTTTAAAATACATTTCTTGAAAATAGGGGTGCATGTTAAGGCCTTTCGATCCAAAGTGATATGTGCGGGAAATATCAGGAATTATACACTCTCTGTCCAGTCTGATCTCAGGGAGCCTCATCCACATGTCCCAGTCCCAGAACTTGTCTGGTGTTGGCCACTTTGGTTCAAGTTCTTCCTTGTATAACTTTCGTTTTAGCACCCTAAAAGATGGAAAGGAAAAGACTCAATAAATATTTCTAGTTAAGAAAAAAGCCGACTATTTTTACTCTATCGTGAAGTGAGGAAAGAAAATTCTGACAACTGAGCTGAGAATGTAAATTGGACACCGTAAAAAGCTTCTGAAGCTGATCTTTCGAGCGTTAGCCCTTCGTCAGAGCGAATAGAGGAATTGTGGGTTGTGGGTGTTTATATGGAGAAAAATGAAGGAAAGTGAGGAAAGTCGCGGAAAGGACCAAATTCAGGTAGCTGGTCATTTCACGCGGAATCGAGGTCGATTCAAATTCAGCCTGCCTTCAAATACCAGTCTTACCTGGGCTACTAATAGGTTGGGTCCATTTAATAAATAGAGTTTGAAGTGGTAATTGCATTTCTACACTATCATTGAATTATCCTTTCGAAAATCGCTTATGCCAGCTTGAACAGGTCTTGAATAGCATTACACTTCAGGGTTCTTGCGACTTGTGTTGCTAACAAAACGCCCAAATGCTTGAGGCTCTATCGTCCAGCGACAAACTCCCCCCTCCTTCCCCAACGTTATTTCCAGGTGGCTCTACTAAAGTTGCTCTTTAGCCGAATTTAACCCCGCCAGCAGGTGGAAGACTTTCCACAGACTCTCTGACGTGGCACAAGCAATCCACGCTTTCTACTAGTCTCATTTTCCTTCTGTTTGTGGGTACTCTTTGCGTCAGAGCTCGATATTAAATTACATTTAATTGATAATTCTTCTTGCGTCGATGGAAATAACGCACGTAAATTCAGTGCATTTTAGTTTCATACTAGCACTTAGGAGACCAGGTGAAAATACTTCAGCTTAGGGCGAAAAGCACCACACACTGTGCTTCTCTCCTCCTAGGTGTCTCGACAAGAACCAGCTGTCAAGTTCACTTGACGAATTGCTGGGGGAAATTCATGGACATTTGAGGAGGCAACGAACCCATTTCCATCCGACTCCATCCAGTCATTCTACAAAACAACTTACCAACCAAGTCCAGGCATAGTTTCTATTCGATACAAAAGGGACGAATCACCAACAGTGTGTTCATATCCCTAAAGAAACAGACATGAATTATTTTTTTTAAGAAATCTGATTGTAATTTATCAATATACCTTTACAAAAGATTCTACTTCAATTCACAACAATTAGCTTGGGTCTGTTAACCCTTGATTCCCAAGATCTCATTCAGAGTTCTCCTAACTATCTGCCACAGTTCTTATGAGTTACTTTAGAGAATTTGGTATTGGATCAACTAATAATCCACTAATTGATATTTTTCTTAATTCTCATCACTTGTTTACTTCATATTGTATTAATAACAACCTTTATTTTAAGAGGGTGACACCAATTACTTTGAAAGTATTCTCCCTAGTGGCCCTCTAAAACACCCATCCCCTCCCCCGCCCACCCCAGGGGAGGACATCCATCACACAGTAATCTCGTGTGTGGGAAATTAACGTCTCCTACCCCAACCCTGCAGGAGACGGGACTTCCGTTTATTCGTCCCTATCCGAGAAATCTAGAATATCTAACCATTTCTTGATGTTATAGAAAGGTAGCAAATTCTTCTCAATTATTTTAAGACCCGGGTCTCGAACCCTCGACCTCCCGCACAGCAGTCCAGCGCTCTATCCATTGAGCTAACCGGGAGGCGGTTAGCTCAATAGATAAAGTAATTTGTTTTGTCATAACAAGGGTTTAAAGCAAAGCTTTACTACTGCAAGTTCGCCCCTACCTTAACCAGTTCGCCCTAAAGCCTCCGACGTTTTTCCTTAAGGCACAACATGTTCCTGTTCTGTCGAAATTTTATATAAATTCCTATAATATGCAAATTAATTTCTCTAACTAAAACGCTTGACCGTGGAAGCTTGCTAGATCGCTTTGAACCGCTGGCCTTTCTTACAGACAAGTGCGTGCGGTGATAACAAGTGATAACAAGTCGGACGTTGATGATAACAAGTGATAACAAGTCGAACGTTGGTCACTGTTTTGTAATATTTTTGTTTCACATCATACCTGATCATTCCACGCCGATATACAATATAAACTCTCGTCCTGTTCTAACAACGGTAACAACTGGTAAAAATACCAGAAGATATCTGTTGACACATCTAGATCTTCCTCTAGAATAATCATGAACTTAGCTTCTGGGTACAGGTTAAAGGTGGTCGTCAAACTTGCTTTGTAATGCTGTTGAGAAGAACGAAACACTTCATTCCAATTGTTGGTATATCATTTGGATATTGAAGTCGCTGTAACACAGTACTCTACTTTGTACAGTTGGATAATAATTTGGTTTTATCAACTGACTTGATAATGTAAACTGGCCACCCTAAAAGTACTTTTTAGAAACTCTTTCTGGTGGCCAAATCAACTCAGTTGATAAAGCCAAATTATACTTTTCACCAATGCAGTGTCACATTTTCTTCAGAAACTTACCCCATTTATTAAAAAAATTTAAAAGTCTGCTTTCAGCTGAAAGCATTTTGCAGATAACAAAACATTACTATTTCAAATAACTTCTTTCATTTCCCCACTCCTCCCCCCCTAAGTCACCTGAGATATTCTTGCATTCTTGCTACTGACAGGGGTATGCTGGATTCCTCGGACACCAAATAATCTTGCAACAGCCAAAGGCTCTTCAAAGTATCCATCAATGAAGACAGTAACTTTGCTAGGATCTGCCCCCTGAGCAGAGAGGACAGACCGGATCATCCGGTACAAGTAGTTTGGTCTGTTGCTAGCAATGATTGCAATTGGAAGAGTCATTTTCTCTCTGTTTGGTAAAGGATCACTTTTGATGTCAAGTGGGGCAGGGTTTGAGCCTGGAATAGAAAAAAACAAAAAACACACAAAAAAAACAAATATGCAAACAAATCAAAGAGACAGGTTAATTAACAATTATTCCACGAGCGCGCATTGGATATGAGATGATAGATAGCCAACGAGGCGCGTAGCGCTTAGTTGGCTATAATCATCTCATATCCAACAAGCGCGAGTGGAGTATTTGTTTTATTAAAAATGCCCCCAAGATATAAGGCAAATCTTTATATTAGACAAATTTTTTAGCTCCCTTTTAATTTTAAGCTGACGCGTACGCTTACCATATTTGTAGATTATGGTATATTGGCTCATAAACCATAATGGCTAAGCCAATAAAAAGTCTTGAATTGCATTATCCAATGATCCAGTTTTTAATAATTCTAGTTATAAGTAGAGGAAAAATCCTTTAACCTCAAGGACCACCAGCTAATTCCTCCTTAAAATATCACCCTTGAATGAAACAATGAGGACACAAGAATAAAGGAAATGATCACCCATTAGAGAAGCTCTTGATCGTCAAATATATTCTCCTCGTCAGCACCTTAGGAAATGTATAGAGAACAGTATGGAGAATATGCATACTGATGTTAGGGTGTAAAGGGTTAAAGTTTAAGTACTACCGTTACCACTATAATTGTAAATGAAGATTCTCACCATCTTTCACCCCAAACTTAACATTTCTTCCCAAGAAGCATATCTCTATAATTAAACCCTGCAATCTTTGCACCCATGGAATTTCAAATTCGTTTGCTGTATCCAGCTGACCAGCTTAACACTGGTGACAAACAATTCAACACAACCGACTTGTACCACTTCAGTTTTAGAGCCAATAACTCCATGGCAAAACTGACCAATCATTTTAAACAAATTGGACTTTGAACATTCAACCAACGACAACTATTTAATTGACTCTGATGATCACTGTGACTCAGATTCTTGAAACAGCAGTCATCACCACTGTTAAAAGTACTTCTCAGGACTATGCTCACCCGGATGATCAGACTACACCTCACATGTTACCCACATGTTCAAATCATCAATCAAGAGTTGCACATTCATTCAAGGCCATATCACATCACTTACAACTACACACACTGCCATATCCTTCAAACTTCTCACAGAATTCTCTTCTCCTTTTGGTGACATCACTTTCTTCCCATGAACAAGAAGCACTGTCCTGTGACTGCAGTGTCACTAGGGCCTGAATTGTTAGGGGCTCTCCCCAGGTGTCAAAATTGGTGGCCTTTCTATGCCCCTCTGCACTGACAGAGCCTCGTTTATGCACCACAAAGGCCCACATGTCTCTGAAGTTCAGGTTCTTAAAGTTTTCACTTCCAAGTGTACTCATCAAGTTCCGTGCTGTCTTCTTCAGTTGGTACGTCCCTTCATCCTGGAAAACAGAAAAATTAGATTTTTGCAAAAAACATGTTTTTGTTGTTGCATGATTCAGTGTATTCATACGGTACATGTAAATTGAAAATAGCACCACTGTCATCAACAGAGCTTTTAATACCTTGTAAACATAGCCTTCAAGTTTTCCTAGCATACATACATCAAAATAGTTAACTCTTAAACCCTTCGAGTGACTGGCATCTAATTTTTCCTTGCAATATCACCCCTGAATCACTAATTAAGGAAATGAGAATAAAGGAAATGATCACCAACTAATAAAAAAAGTTCTTGATTGTTGAACAAATTCTCCTTGCAGGGCTCGACACTGAAGGTAGCCCACTAGCCACAGACTAGTAGAAATTCACTTTTGGCTAGTCAATCAATCAATCAATCAATCAACTTTATTTAACGAGGGTAACACGGGACAGTGCTTAAACTGAGTAACTAGTGGCCCTCAAACTAAATTTGTAAAACAAAGTTAAGTTAACAAAATACATGTCATAAAGAAAGGAAGTATAAGTGTATGTATGAATAGGACTAACAATAGTGAAAACTATATTACACTTATAAAGATATTCTTACAATGAATATCTACAAACTATAATTACAACAAGAATACAGCTGGGATAGGTCCAGCGAGAGGAAGGTTATGAAATGTTGGATTAGCATAAAACTATGAGTAAAATTAAGTTTCAGTTATGCTAAAATGATCAACGTCATTGTATCTGGATAAAAAATGTCTATAAATAGCCTTTCTAGATGAGGTTACACATGTTACTTTCCTAAGGTTAATAGGCAGAGAGTTCCAGAGCCCGGTTGTGGACACGCTAAAAGTTCTCCCTCCCTCAGATACGCGATTATATCTGGGGCAGACGAGGTTTAAGGCACTGTACCGCCCACTGCGTGTGTGTAAATCTGCATTGCATTTAAGAAGGTCATACATGTGGCTGGGGCAGTTTCCTTGAAGGTGCTTAAGGACTAGTGAGCACTTATTGATTTTAGCTTCATCATAAAATGGGAGCCACCCTAATTTATTAAAAAGATTTACGCTATTTGATCTTGTGTCAGCTGCCAAAATTACTCGGGCAGCACGTTTTTGCAGCTTAAGGATTCTTGTTAAGTCATCAGCTGAGCAGTTTGACCAGACAGTTGACCCATACAACATTACTTGTTTGATCATAGCATTGTAGTAAAGTGTGCGCTGTTCAATAGGGATGAATCTCCTTATCTTTCTAAGAACCGCTATGGTTTTCAATTGGTTTTCAATTTCCACTAGCCAGTTTGGCTAGCAAACAGACTGAAATTGTCATAATATCTAAGAACATCTAAGATGTCACTAGCCTCTTGGCTAGTAAGTTGAAAAGTTAGTGTTGAGCCCTACCTTGTCAGTGCCTTGGGAAATATATGGGGAACAGTACAGAGAATATGCTTACTGATGTCAGGGTATAAAAGGTTAACTGATGCCTTTTTAAGTAGTTAACTCAAACTTCCTTAGGACATACAAGTACATAAAACTTGTGCTCAGACTTCTCTCCAGGTGTCAGATAGTCTCATTCATTATATACCTACTGACATTTACGCACTGAAAAGATGCAAAATAAAATTTTTATTCACAAGCTGGTTGAAGAAGCAGAGAGGAAATCAATAGTGCTTATTGCATTTTTTCATGCAAGGAAAATGATATGTTGAATCAGGAGTATCAACTGAGGCAACTCTCTTTTAGTCTTTAATAGCAGCATTTTGTTTTTGGAATGCATGCACTACCAATAAATCTAAAATATAGTATTTCCTTAAATGAGCACCCAGGCACTCATTTAAAACTTCAGCTAAAAGAAGGAGAGTGCTCAATTGAAGGGGGCTACTTATTATTCTCCTGAAATGTTTCCACTGTAGTTGAAGCTTAGGAAGTTATAAATAAAGTGGCAATAGAAACAGGTTTTCCATGTATCCTTATTATTATGAGCGAGGGAGGATGGAGGAGCACATATATTTAAGGGGGGTGGTGCTGGTTTAAAAATGTGGCCTAGGGGGGGCGTTGGTACTTATTCAGGGAAGGTACTTATTGGAGCATGGGCACTTATTCAAGGAAATACAGTATGAACAAAGACCAACTCACTCGTATTGTAAAGCAGATAATTCTACCATCAGACACCATGTTGATGAACAGCACCAAGGCATCTGAGTCCTCTTTAGAAGCAAAAGTATCAAACGACCTTGTTGCCATGACAGCACCTGTCATCTGGTTTAGAACTGCAACACTTATTCCCCTCTTTTGTTCATCTGTAGCCTCTAACACCTTCCCACAACATAAAATAATAATAATTATTTCATTTTCAGACACTTGACAAAGAAAAAAAAATCTAAGTTCCTGACAAAGAATTTGATATTGCAAGTTCAGATTTGGTCTATGATGCTCGATGACTGTGCTGAATTGTTTTAAGGCAACAAGATTTAAGTGTTTTTTGTGCTAGTTATAAGATCTTAGCATGCCACATGTATTCAATCATTAATTAGGGTGTTTCTTTTGTGTTGTTGCTGTTTCTTGTCATCTATTAGTGTTTTTTCTTCGGTTAGTTAGCTTCTGTTGTTTTCCATATCACATACTTTCGTTCATTATTGTTTCTTTTGCAATTACTGGCATCAATTGCACTTTCAGTAAATTGTTTTCACATGCATTAATTTAAGTTTTTCATGCATGGATAAACTTAGTTTTCTCTGTTCAGGGCCCTCTTTTTTTCAGTAGTTGCTCTAGTTGCAGTTCGCTTTCAAGTGGTTCTTTTATTCTTCGTTTCGTCTTTGGACAGTGTTTTTTCATCAAGTACAGTTTTGCAGTAATCGTAACAATGTAAGTATTGTTGTTTTAAGTTGGCTCAGTGTATTACTTTCCTATCACCTTTACTCAATCAATTGTTGTAATTTTGTATTTATTTATTACTTTTAAGTTTCAACCCACATCATTCACCATCAATAGGTCGCCTTTTTTTCAGTAATTGTGGTGTTGAGAAGTTACAATTGCCGCAGTCACACTAGTTACTGAAATAGTAAATTATCTTAATTATACTAGTAGAGCAAACCTGTTTTGTAAATTAAAAAAATCAAGGAACTATTTTCAATGTAAAGACTAAATTTTTTCTCAAAATACAAATCGTACCTCTGGTTTCCTTAGTGAAAATATTCCATGGCTATCATAAGAAGTTCATTACCTATAAAGGTCATAAGCTTCTGTTATCATCTAAAAGTTGTTTCTTCAACAGTACCTTGGTTCCATCCACAGTGATAGAGGCTACATCTTTGCTCGACTGGACTTCTATAGTGATCCTTCGGCCCTCAGCTATAGAACCTGTAATTTTTTATCAACTCAAACTAACTTAAGCTGTATACATAATTTTTGCTACCATTGCAGAAGTGAAAATAGGTGATATACTAAGACATCAGCGAAGACTTCTAATTCTAAGCTTCTAAAACGATACCTTCTGTAAGTTTAGAGCGTTTACGAGTGTTTTTAATACCAAGGACATCCTGCTTTGGAAGATGACAAGAACCAAATCAAACACTTGCTCACGGAAGGACGAGAATAAAGTCATAATAAGTAAGTTGCACGTGGACATATAATCTTAACGACTTGAAATTTTACCCGTTTCCAATTCCTAAATGAATGAAAGTGCAAACTCAATAAATATTTAAGTAGTATTTTGAAATAAACATTACTTTCTCCTACTTTATGGTATTAAATGCCTTCGGTAGGGACACAGAAAAAGAATGTAGTTTTAATTTATAAGTAAATTTTACTCGAGGATATTAGTCAGTTACTAAAGCGTACCTATGTTTTCGTTATGGTTCGAAATTCCAACTCCTTCATCAGCTGTGTTTGAATTGAGTAGAGTTCTATCCCTGGTATACTTCTTCGTGGTATCCCAAATAAAAATAAAATTTATAATCACAGTCACACATAACACTATCACCAGGATCCACTGAATCATCCTGCTAAATATCCCTTTCTTTCGAATGCGGATCTTGGCGCAAGGAATTGGTAAAGTGAAGAAAGCGGACGCCGGTACAAACGGCTTTGCATTCGGATTGGGCTGCCAAGAACTACTCATGTTTCACTTATTCCCGCGAGCAGACAAAGGTAGCCCTCAGATGGACGATTCAACCATTCATGCCAACTTCAGGGCCAGTGCTTTACTTATATCTCATCAACAAGTTTCGAGTCATTAATAACATGATGTAAACTTTGAACATAGTTGGCCCCTTACAGAATACATAACAACGCGTTGTTGAGTATCATGTTGACGTTGCTTAGTAGCCGCGCAGTATAGGAAACTCATTGCTTGCTGTTTTGCAAGTCATTTAGCGAACAACAGTTCCGAGAAATTTGGGTCTTTACATTTATTTGGAGTATATCCTTGAATGTCTCTATGTGCTGTCAAACTCCTGTAAAAGAGAGTAATGCCGGACCAGGGGTCTGTTTCCCGATACTTATGCAAACACTATGTACTTGAGGGTAAATTTTAAAATATCAAACTTGCGAATAGTAGATAAGGTCTTCGCTTAGTAGTTTTGTCCGCTGATCACATATCCTTACTGTCTGAGTTTCAAAAGTATTAATTTCTTGATCCTGACTGCAAACCCTGTGAATCAATATTTAAAAATCTACACCTCTAAAATTTTAATACCCAATTACTTAATTTCATCTATTTGAAATTAACATTTATTAAATTCTTCACTATTTATGTACCAAATGCAAATTTTATTATTTCATTACCTAGTACTCAAATAAATTACACTTTTCCGAGAAACAAATATGAAAAATAAATACAATTTCCCCTGAGCTTAATTGCCATTAAAAATTCTGATACTCTGCAACTCTGGGTGTACAACCTACAGCATTGAATTACTAACATGTTTTAAACTTTCAGAGAAACATTCTTTTAACTTGTATCCCAGACATTATTGGCACAAGCTGATGAGAGAAACAACAGAAGTTTTACTAGTTTCAAGTTGATTGGCTTTTTATGAAGGCTACATGCAACAAGCTTCAACCTTTTTTTACTCCCATGAGTGACCAAGGCAGAATTTCTCCTTACAATATCAATACAACATCAAGAAGACAAGTGATGAGAATAAAGAAAAGATATCAACAAAGGAATTACTAGCTAATACCAAATTATTTGTACTAACATCACAAGAATTGTATGGCAAACAGCAAGGAGCTGTTCTTAAGAGATTTTGGGAGTAAAAGTGTTAATTTAACAAAACAAATAAGAGTTAACAGCATTTGTAAACCCTCGAACTTCCAGAAGTGATTAACATGTAACTTCTTGCTAAAATATCCATCATCCAGCAAAAAGGTAATGAGAATACTCAAACTTAACAGGTGGAAGTTATCATCTTGATCCAACACCAAATTCTTGTAACTAATTTACATGGAAATGTGTAGCAGCTAGAGAGGAGAATTAGCAAACAGATCCAAGGCGTGAAAGGGTTAAGAGTTAAACTCTTCTCTCACTGCCACTTCTTCTTTGTGCGCTTTGCTGTT